TCTCCTTACCGTGCGTGTATGGTACCCCTTACGACACCGCATCTCCCTCCTCGAGGTCTTAGGACAACTAATCCGTTTTTTCTCTGCGTCTCGCTCTCGAGGCCGGCACCAGACGGGAGAGCACGCTGCGGTCAGGCACGCAGAGTGACTCACCAACTTGAAGAACGGTCAGCCTGCTTTCAACGTGAGCAGGGTGATATTGAGAAAATTGGTGAAGGCTAAGCTATTCAATAGAAAACGAAGATGGAGACACGTTTTTGTTCATGCAAAAGATCCCGACTTACGTGAACACAAGGAAATAAAATTGTGAGAATGCACTTCTGTGACCTCGAATACTCTTAATCCTTTCTTTGACCTCCCCAAAAGTCACTAGTAATTCACTGTAGTACCCTACGTTCCCACTAGTGAGTCACCAGTAATTTTGAAAAAGAAACCAGCGATTATCGTCCAGTCGATCCGAGTGAGAGAGAGAGAGAGAGTACCGACAGCTAGGGGAGATTTGCACTCTCGCCGCATAGAAAGGATTAGATGTCACACAATCGTGGAGATCATTTTAGAATCGTTACTATTATTTTATAGCACTAGTTCTTGCCCTCTGCCGATATTTCCAGACAAACTTTCCCCTCAGTGTCCACAAGACTCGGAATAAAGACCGGTAATCAAGAAAATAATCAAAGAAGTAAAGGCTGGCAAGTAAATAAGCCAATAAAAAGCGTGTAGAAAATAAACACTCAAAAGAATAAATAAGTAAACGAGTAACCCACCGTTCATCTGCTACAGGCTCACGCCTTTCATTCGCCGGAGTGTAGCCATATGGCCAGCTCTAAAACACCTCAATTACTGTAACTCTGTAGCTTTAAAAGGCGAAATTACTAAAATATCAGTTTAAACTGGGTTACCTGAGCTGGTGTTGTTGGATACGTGCGCGGATCCCATCGTGGGGCAGCCGTTGTGTAGTAGTAATAGTAGTTTGGTGTGGTCCGCACCTTGTGGCTCGAACAGTGGACGATAATGTACGTCAGCTTTCAAAGTAATTGTTCTCAGTGAAAGTACATAAAATGACGTGGAAACCGCTACGGTAACTGCAGCACGAACCTCTTCTCAAAAATGACAAACTACCTGTAAATTAGCGTGCAACGTGATCGCGCTGCAGCGACTGGAGGGGGGGGGGGGGGGGGCGACGGAGCATGGCTTAGTGCCAGCTGAGACGAGCCTTCTCCACCAACAACGCCCTCCTCAAATCCGCAACAATTGGCGTTAAAACCATCCCTGACTGCGCTTTAAAACACGTGGCTCGTGACACGTCCTATCGTATGCATGGTCCTAATTGTAAGGTTCTTCAAGGCATGGTCGAAAGGGTGGCAGGTGAGCATTACGCTCTGGCAAATGTCTCACCCGCCCCACCTGGCCTGTCAGAAAGGCACCAATGAGAACGACCCAGTGGCAGGCTTGACTCCACCCATCCGATCAGCCTGTCCCTGAAGGAGACCCAGAGACGACCTCTTATTGTTAGTGAGCTGCCTAGTTGCGCTACTGTTTCCAGTCGCGGCCAGTGAATGAATGATTTCAGAGGAGATTGCGCAGTCCTTGTCGGATGATGTCAGTCGGTTTTGGCGCGACGCCAGCCCTTTTCCATCACTCAGTGAACGCCCTCGCTACAACAGTTATGGAATTCAGGCTAGCGCCGTGCACAATCAACTCATCACTGGCACGCCCCCACTTTGGTCTCATCGAGCACTGTCTCATTTGGCACTAGACTGGGTTATTATCGCAGTTTTCCAGGCCTAGAAACCCCCTACTCCCCCGACTGATGGGTCAAATAACTTTGAAAAAAACGTACCCTGCGTTTGCGCAGCGACGTGTCGTTGCTGATTTGAATGATGAACACCTGGTGCAGGTGTTGTTTGCCGCCAGCTGGGAGAAGCACTTGTGGTCCTGGCATAGTTCTGCTGATGTCGTCCCCGATCCCATGACGTCGTCGCCGGGCGAGTGGTCGTCCGTTGGCTATAGGCAGTGATTTGATAACGGCTAAACACGGGTACAATCCCGCGATATCTGGTGGTTTTCCATACATCCATAGTTTTACCTCTCCGTCCTGGGTGGTCTCCTTGTAGTCAAGGCAGTAGTTGTCGTCGTAATCGGCTGCCTAGTAGTCACAGGCTGGCGGTCTAGTTGGGGCAACGGCTTGGCTTTGGCTCGGGTGGCTCTGACGGGCGCTGGCTGGTGGGAACTGTCCCGATCGCGAAATCTCATCTGCAATGAAGAATAGACAATGAAAAATTTGGACAATTCAGCTTGGTGGGGGCAGCGAATGGTAAGCTTGTATAGGCTATCTTGTGAAGATCTGTAAACAGGGTGCTTTTTGCTGCTAGGGAGGTCGTCACCAACCAACTTCTAATAGCAGCGATTGAGAACAGTAGGCCTATAGTAGTTTTGTAAAGCCACGAACTAGTGGCACGATCCTTGCTCCTACCACGACG